TATAATATATAATATATATATATATCTGTATATATATCTATAATATATATATATATATATCAGTGTATTTGTATTTGTATGTACACATGTATTCAAATACACAAGTATACTCATATTTACCGACTCGTACATTCAGTCACGCACCTACCCATACTTTTACATACACACATACGTACCCTGTTACCTTATATCTACAGGGTCTGGAGAGCCTCCCCTGGGCATCAAACCCGAGCACATGACACGCCAAGCATGGGACTACGTCTACCTAGGAGGGACCTACCCCGCAGACTGTGCCATCCCAGAAGAAAACCTGGCCAAGCTCAGAACCGAGTTCCAGTACTGGTACCCCGTAGACCTGCGTGTGAGTGGTAAGGACCTTGTACCTAACCACCTGACCTTCTTCCTATATACACACTGTGCCGTGTGGGGGGACAAACAGTTCCCCAAGGCAGTACGGGCGAACGGTCACCTGTTACTGAACAAGGCTAAGATGAGCAAGAGCACAGGCAACTTCATGACTCTGGCCGACGCCATCAAAGAATTCGGGGCCGATATGACCCGTTTTGCGCTCGCGGATGCCGGAGGTGAGGGCGATGTGAGGTGGTGCGTGTGTAGATGTCCGTGTGTATGTATGCGTACATATTCATATGTGTGTGTATGTATGCTTGCATATTCATACATATACACATACGGGTGGTAGACTAAGGTCACTGGTACGCCTGTGTGATTGGTATGCATCCTTCCGTGGGTGTACGTGCACGAGGTTCTGTTTGTGGGCGTGCGGATGTATTCATATTCATCACCTTCTGGCCGGTCTTTCGCGGTGACTCTGTACTAACCATCTATATTTCACATTCAGCTTATCTATGCTGACGATCTAGCTTCACACTTTGAGCCATATTCCCAATGTATTGCTACTGAGCTCGAGTTCACTCCATTGACATGTTCTGTGTTTTTTGTACTATTTGTCTATACCAATTGAGCTACACCTATGGGTGTGTATGTGTTGCGGTACTTTCACTTCGGTGATAGACCAGTGTACACATGTATTCATATTTACAAACATGGAACTGTTAAGTCAAATATATATACTTACAACAACATACTAAACAATGCTCATGCTACTGTGTGGCTCTATCATCCCCTCAGATGGTATGGATGACGCCAACTTCGAGTCCACCACAGTTAACGCAGCCATCCTGCGAATGTACACTCAGCTGGAGTGGACACAATCCGTACTCAAGGGCGAGGAAGCCACACGTACAGGCCCCAGCACCTCCTTTCACGACAAGGTAGGTACCATCCGCCTGTGCGGTACACGTGTATACATACACACGTATGTACATACACACACACGTATATACATACACACCCACACGTATATACATACAAACACTCACACGTATATACATACACACACACACACGTATATACATACTCTCACACACACGTATACACACACACACACACACACACGTATATACATACACACGCACACACACACGCACAAACCATTGCGAATGCGGCTTGAGCCGTTCTTGCTCTCCTCATAGTCAGCGTAGACACCGACCTGTGTGCTATACAACACGAATGCATTGGTATAGAAACCCTATCTACCCCAGCTCTCTCTTTCGTTTGCACTCAGTCCAGACTCTGGTATCCATGTATACTTGTCCTGCCTCAATCGCACACACGTATATAATCCCATGTACATATACATGCATCTGGTCGTACAATCTGGTGTATAATACAGTAGGGCTGAGTTAACAACGAATGTAATGCTTGTGATCACCTTTACACATACACACACAAACACATACACACGCACATACTTGCGTTCCACTTCTCTCGCACCCTTACACACACACACACTCCACACACTCACCCAACCACACACACAGGTATTGGACAGTGCCATCAATACAGCTATCAACGCGGCTCACAAAGCGTTCAGCGGCATGTTGTACCGAGACGCGCTCAAGGTGGGCTTCTACGACCTACAGAATGCGCGTAACTCGTACATCGCCTTCCAAAGCCCTGAGGACGAGGACCTCAATGTTGGTATGTATGTAATGCAAGGGTGATGGAGAGTATATGGGTATGTGGTGTAAGGGTGGTTGAGAGTGTATGGGTATGTGGTGCAAGGGTGGTTGAGTGTATGGGTATGTGGTGCAAGGGTGGTTGAGAGTGTATAGGTTCGGTGTATGCAGGAAATAGGCTGGTGTGATATATACAGGTTTATGATATAGTTATACATAGCAGATTGCAGTCGATTGTATTTATCATCCACATAGCTGTTCCAACGGTTGTACCATGTCCAAAAAAAAAATTGAACCACTCGGCTCAAGTGTTTGGCTGAGGTACTAACTTTCTCCCATTATACACTGAAGAGGTTTAGATCACACGGTCTATTGGTTATACAGGACGCATGCACAATGCACAGACCTATCACATACACTGTTTCAATAGAACTTTTCAAAGTACATCAATCCCAAAATGGTAGATCAGATTTAAAAGTATTAGGTTCGTTTCAAATAAAGAGATTAAAATCACACTGTCTATTGATATACAGGACGCATGAACAATGCACAAACCTATCATATACACTGTTTCAATAGAACTTCTCAATATTGCATCAATCCCAAAATAGTAGATCAGATTCAAAAGGTTTAAGTCCGTCTCAAACATTTCCGTATCAGACCTGCTCAGGCGCTTTCGTGATCGAGATACAAGCGTTGCTGCTGTCACCATTCTGCCTCCACTACACTGAGAAGACCCAGAGCACACACCCCATTCATCCAGCAATCGCTTCCTTACTATTGCAATCACAGACCTGCTCAAGCGCTTCATCGAGGTACAAGCGTTGCTGCTGTCACCATTCTGCCCCCACTACACTGAGGAGATCTGGGAGCTGCTAGGAAAGGAAGGCAGTATCATGAACGCCGCTTGGCCTGTAGCCGGTGACGTGGATGACGAAGCTATCGAGGGCTGCTTGTACATTGAAGGTGTGTGGACAAAACGTATTGGTGTATGTGTGAGAGTGTATAAACGAATATTTGTGTGGGCGTTTAGATTGTATTAAGTATGTTTGTGGGTGCATAAACGTATCAACGTATCTTTAGGTCCCAGGAACGTTTCAGGGGCAGAGTCACCAGTAGGGTGACCTGTATATATATATAGTGGGTGTGGCGGGAATAGTGCAAACGCTACAACGCTGTTTTACTACCCTGTATTTAAACTCTGGTTTTACTACTCTGTATTTAAACTCTGTATCATACGTGTATTTTTGGTATTAAATTGTACGTGGATTTTTGGTATTAAATAGGACGTGGATTTTTGGTATTTAATTGGACGTGGATTTTTGGTATTAAATCATACGTGGATTTTTGGTATTAAATTGTACGTGGATTTTTGGTATTAAATTGTACGTGGATTTTTGGTATTAAATTGTACGTGGATTTTTGGTATTAAATTGTACGTGGATTTTTGGTATTGAATAGGACGTGGATTTTTGGTATGAAATTGTACGTGTGTGTCTAGGCTAACGCTTTCACAAACGAATCAAGGCAAGGGCTAGCGCAGAGAAAACGCAATACTGAGACTGTCCTGGTATGTGTGTCGAGGATTGAACAGATTGGCGGGTGACTACACAGTCATGCGCTGTGGTTCGTAGACCGTGCTGGGTCACGCTTGGCTATCTCAGGAGAATGGTACATAGGGTTTAGGAGGGTTTATGCCCTAAACCCTACACATTTAAACTCACACAGCGGCTCATTCCCTTTACTGATGTCACGTTGTTTGTGTCATGTGTTGAAACAGATCTTGCGGCGAGCATGCGTGCCAAGCTCAACAATACGAAGCACCCGAAGAAGGGCAAGGCCACAAACCCTACCAAGGTCACCATCACATACACAGATGTGTACCCTGAATGGCAACAAGCAACGCTAGATACTCTAGCCCAACTATACCAGGAGGTAAGTATTGACCACTTGTGTAACAAGTATTTGTATATGTAAATGATATCTTATGCATATATATATATATATATGTATGTATAGACACACACATATATATTATATGTATATATATATATATGTTAATATATATATACTTATACATTTATATGTATATATATATATATATATATGTTAATATATATATACTTATACATTTATATGTATATATATATATATGTGTGTGTGTATATGTATGTATGTATATATATATATATATATATGTATGTATATATATATATTATAAATATATATACATGTATATATATATATATATATGTAGTTATAGTTATAGACAGATTTAGATTAGATTTATATGATGTCCGTGCCGATAAGGGGGTTGATTCGTGCATGGATACATCTCGTGACCTTTTACTTCCCAAGCATTGTACAACTATTCTACAATCCATGGACCTACCACATAGTAGATGAGTTGTCACACTGACACTGACACTGACACGCCCACCTCGCACTCAGGACCAAGAGACGTACGAAAACAACAAGGAGATTGTGGGCATCCTCAAGTCCATTGATTCCGTTAAACCGCACATGAAGAAGGTCATGACCTTTGTCAGCCAGACCAAGGCGGCAGTCTCCGCCAACGGTGCTCAGGCACTCAAGCCCGTTGTACGCTTCAGAGAGGGAGAGGTGCTTGGACACTACACGAAGTATCTATCCGCATCCATTGGCTTGCCGGTAGAGATAGTGTGCGAGAGCAAGGCCGATAAGGCCGAGCCTAAGAAGCCGTTTATTTCGTATTCCGAGTGAGTAGGTAGTAGGATGGGGTAGTGAGATGTAGCGGAAGGGGGTAGAGGCGACTTAATGCGTACGACTAGATACGACTTATTCTAGTAGCACACTGAAAGTTCATAAAGCTGTGCATATAACGTTTACTTTGTTCTGAGTATACTTTCTCTTCTAACTAGCGTGTGGTTTTCACCGTCGTGTGTGGCCGGATCACGGGCTTTGTAACAAGGGGTATAAGGACACCCTTGTAGAATACAACCAAGTTAGAGACTGTTTATAAACCCAGTTTACTATGCAGCAACTCTTGAGAGTACCACAGTAAGACCGAAGGTATACATGTACTCGAAAGTCGTAATATATCGTTATGAGCCGAGCTTGCCTGCTGTCTATAGGGCATCTAAGAGGTGGTCAGTTTGTACTCCATCTTTACCTACCACAATAACTACCGAACTTCGCGTCCTGCTATCTATAAGCGATACTTGCCGCAGCTCCCGACACTGAAACTTAATTGTAACTAACAGGCCTATACAATATGATGGCGGCAATGGTAAGACATGCTACTACTATATACACGCAAGTACTATGGACTTGATCATCTAATTCCAACGATCCGTGGCACGGATAGTACACACAGAACGTGGTTCAACTAATAGTAACTACTATATAAATGAGTATTGAAGCTTCCGAGCTGACATATTCGCTGCTACCACATACTACAGCGGTATTTAATGGTTGGTGGTAGAGGGTACCGAAACGTTTGCTGGACTCAAATCCAACGGAATCATGCAAATGCATGTACAAATGGATGTATATAGAATATGCGTGCAATTACACACATGTATGTATAGTACGTGTGCCATTGCATGCATGTATATATACTACGTGTGTATTTACATGCCATATACATGCATGTATATGTAATAAGTGTGTATTTACATGCATGTATTGCATGTGAATATATTACTTGTGTATTTACATGCATGTACATATATTACGTGTGCAATTACATACATGTATATACGACAAGTGTGTATTCATATGCATGTATATATAATACTTGCGTAGTTACATGCATTTATATATATTACATATATATTGACATGTATGTATGTGATCAGTGGGTATGTATATGGATGCATATATAATACTTGTGTAGTTATGTGCATGTACATAAAGTGTGTCTTTGCATGAATGTAAATATAAAACTTGTGCAGTTACATGCATGTATATATAATACTTGTACATTTACATGCTTGTATATATAATACGTGTGGATATATATATATATATATATATGTGTGTGTGTGTATATGTATATTACGTGTGTAATTATATATATATATATATATATATATATATATATATATATATATATATATATTATATTATATATATATATATAGT